CAGATCCCAATGCACGATTTTGTTTAACCTTCAGAATCCCTGTCTTTGTGTGGTACATGAATGGACTGTGATTCCATCTTGAAAGATGTGAAGGTTTCATAAACATTCCAGTATATGCTGATGGCTGCATTCTCTAAGTTCCTGTAGCAACTGCAGAGAGCAAATGAATGTGTTATTTTTGTTCCTAGTACTGCTTGGTTGGTTTCCCTAATGAGATTCTAAATTTTGTTGGGGCTAAGATGCCTTCTATGTTTACAAGAGCTTTACTAGTATTAAATAATAAAAGAGGGCTGAGAGAGTAGCTCAGTGGTAGAGCGTGTTTGTGCAAGGCCATGAAGTTTGATTCACAGAGCTCAAACATTGAAGGAGTACATGTTTATTTGTGATGGGCATATAGGTATGTTTCTACCTGTCTTAGGCTGGGGGCTAGTTACCTAAAAGGAAGGGAGAATCAGTTTGAGAAGTAAGGTGTTTCTGAAATAAATAGAGCAATTTAATTAAGTGACAGAGAAAAAGTTATGGAAAAAAATGTATCAAGAGGAAAAAATGATTGCAGGACACCAGAAAGGGGAGCTTCCTGTGGGGAAGGGTTGTGCTTCTTAAATATCTAGAAATAATGAGCATGATGAAAATTCTCTTCATTCTAGAGGCAAATCTTTAGGTCACAGTTATGCTAGTTACCATCTTTCTTTCATGTCTCTGTGTAAGTGAGCCTTCCAATTTCAAGAGGAATTTCTTCACAAACAACTCAACTCTTGCTAGTGTTTAAGAGTGGATAGAAAGTTAAATTTTTAGGTTATATTTGGAGTCCTCCTTTAACCAAATGGGATACTTAGTTCCTGTAAGAGACAATGATGACCCGCAAGTAAATTCTTGCCTTTTTGTAACAGTCTTGAATGAAAAGCCTATGGGTCTTGCAAAAGGAGTTATTGGCAGCTAAGGCTACAAGGCTATTTGGCTTACAACCAAGCAGCAGGGAGGAGGGAGGGAATTGTCTCCGAAGTCATCTTTGTTTCTGCAGATTGTAATATTGAGTTGAATTTTGTTTCAAATGAATATCAAAGGTGGATATATACGACTGCTCTACAGCACTTGTTCCTTGGCATTTGCCCCATGCCTTGACTGAGGTTGTCCTCTAATGCCTCAGAAGATTAAATAAGAAGAAGAGAAGCTATACCTGACCAACTCAGAATCCTTGGCTTCTTCTCAAGGTATTCCCATTTTGCTTACATCTCAGGTAATTTATTTGGTATATTAAGTCAGTCTTAATGATATTTCTTAACATGTCATGTAGTCATTGGGATCCAAGCCTTGGGAAATGCACTTTAATGTTGTTCTTGGGGTTCCATCTACATGACCCCCATAACAATCAAGTGATGATCGCCTGTCCATGGTCAGATTTGTGGATCAGAAGGATCATACTTTTTAACATGGAAAAGAGGTTGGACAAAGGAATGAGAGTGGTGTGATCATGTGACTGGAGGCAGAGGGACTGAGTAGGAGTCTCCTTTGATGGTCCAGGTAAGAACTGGGGCTCAGAAGAAGAAATGGGAAAGAGATATTTGGAGATAGAAATGAGCAGTCAATAGTATGAAGAAGTGGAAGAAGGGTTATACAGAAATATGATACCTCTGTTAACAAACAACACAGGGAAACCTGGAGACTAGGAGGAAGCCGCAGTTTCAGAATGATATGAATGAGTTTCTTTTAATTAGTATGACCTACTTTTCCATAGTGAATTGAGATTTAGACAGCATTCCCAGAACACTCGGCTCTAAAACTTGGAATTACCTGGGTGTGGGGGAAAAAGTTGGTCATGTAAGTTGAGCCTATGCTGAATTCATTCATGATGCTGCAAATGGCACCTCGTAGGAGGTCAGGCATATATGTAGATGTTCTGTGGAGGTTGTAGGGCCAACAGAGCTGCAGATGAAGTTTGAGAGTTGCTTGCACAGAGATGGTAGTTGAAACTTTAAAACTGGGTATGATAATTGTGGGAAAAATTTATAGTATGGCATTATAACTACTTCAGACCACTTGTGAAATGAAAAATGGTGTAAAGGAATAAATAAAATAAGGGGAAGGTGTAAAAAAGCAGCAAGATTGAGTTTGAAGAATGCCTAATCTCTATGGAAAACAAAGGGGTAATAGAATATATGAGGGAGAAGAGAGGCACTGGAGGGAGGAGAGGAACAGAGGGTTGGGGGACAGGAATGGTGCAAGCCAGTCAACAACGATAATTCATGAAAACTGCATATGGGAATTCATTACTTTGTATACTAACTTAAAACAAAAACACTAATTAAAACAAGAAATCTGAGGGTGAGACAGAAGAAACCAAAAAAAGAGTTAGGGGCCTAGAAATATAGGTCTGTAGAGTGCTAGCCTGAGTTTCA